CTCTTTCCTTGCTGGGACAGCACATACAATCGTAACAAAAAAAGAATCTTCCTTCTACCTTCCATACTGCTCTTTGGAAGTATACTGGGACAGCTCTAGAGCCCCCTGGCACCAAGGTGTACCTGTAAGATGTGTCTGTTTGTGGGCTTAATTCTCTTTATTGTCCTACAGTTTTCCATGAGTGGTTTGGTGAGTGCAGTGGCCCAAAGAAATACCTCAAGCAGGGAGTTAATACTGAACCAAAGTAATGCTTGTGTGGCCACCCTGGCCATCCTAGTCATACACGCCCCGAGAAACCAGCACTGTGTTCCAGGGATGGGATAATGACGTTATTTTGTGTCAGGGTGTTAGAAAAGAAACCTTCCCCTGAGGTGTCTGCGGTGCCGCTCGCTGCGATGACGGAGGGGCCGTTTCCATCAGTCACTGGAGCAGCAATCTTGGGGTTCCAGCTTTTCCCTCTAAATAACATCCCCTCACCCAGAAGTGGGAGTGAAAGAGAAAGGGGCGCAGCCACCCTCACTAGAATTAAGGAAACGTGGTGCCTCCGCACCTGGTTGCTGTTGTGTCTTGGGCACGAAGCTGCTGTCTCCAGAGCATCTGGCACCCGCTCGGTGTCTCGTGCAGGCTCCCGGCTTACACTGATGAGTCTCCAAGGCCTGTAGCTCGCCCATTAGACGAGTGTTGTTTTGTCTGTGTCGTGCCCAGTGCGGTGTTGTGCTGCTGCACTGCTCAGGGTGCTGCTTTCTTCACGTTCCTGCCTCATCCCTGGGTTTTTTTTTGTTTAACATACGGCTTGGCTGTAGCGTTTAAACGTTCGCTCAGCCGTGGCCTGTGGGAATTAGGGTTTGGCAGCTACGAGCCCCCACCAGCTGTGCCCTCACCCTCCCGTGCTGTCTTTCCAGGTACATTGAGAAGTCAGCAGAAGAGCTGGATGAGGAGGTGGAATACGACATGGACGAGGAAGATTACATCTGGCTGGACATCATGAACGAGCGGCGGAAGACCGAAGGCGTGAGTCCCATTCCTCAGGAGATCTTTGAGTACCTGATGGACCGGCTGGAGAAGGAGTCCTACTTTGAGAGCCACAACAAGGGGGATCCAAACGCCTTGGTGGATGAGGATGCCGTCTGTTGCATCTGCAACGACGGGGAGTGTCAGAACAGCAACGTCATCCTCTTCTGCGACATGTGCAACCTGGCCGTGCATCAGGAGTGCTACGGGGTGCCCTACATCCCGGAGGGACAGTGGCTCTGCAGACGGTGCCTGCAGTCGCCCTCGCGAGCCGTGGACTGTGCCCTCTGCCCAAACAAGGGGGGGGCCTTCAAGCAGACGGACGACGGGCGCTGGGCACACGTGGTCTGTGCCCTCTGGATCCCGGAGGTGTGCTTTGCCAACACCGTCTTCCTGGAGCCCATCGACAGCATTGAGCACATCCCGCCCGCGCGCTGGAAGCTGACCTGTTACATTTGCAAGCAGCGCGGCTCCGGGGCTTGCATCCAGTGTCACAAAGCCAACTGCTACACCGCCTTCCACGTCACCTGTGCCCAGCAGGCCGGGCTGTACATGAAGATGGAGCCCGTCCGGGAGACGGGGGCCAACGGTACCTCCTTCAGCGTGCGCAAAACTGCCTACTGTGACATCCACACGCCGCCGGGCTCCGTGCGCAGGCTTCCCGCCCTCTCCCACAGCGAGGGGGAAGAGGAGGACGAGGAGGAGGAGGAGGAGGGGAAGGGCTGGAGCTCTGAGAAAGTCAAAAAAGCAAAGGCCAAGTCTAGGATCAAGATGAAGAAGGCACGGAAGATCCTAGCGGAGAAGCGAGCCGCAGCGCCCGTGGTTTCTGTGCCCTGCATCCCCCCGCACAGGTACGACCCGCCTCCCTCCCTGGGCTGTGGAGAAATGTCTCCCTTGCTCCGTGCCTCGTGTCCCGCTTTCCACGTGGGCGTTACCTCGCTCCTCTCCTTAGCTTTTCGCACAGGTACTTTCCGCTTTGTTCTCGCAGCGGGCTGTTGGTGGTTTCCTCTGGCAGTCCTGTGGAGAGGCAGGGCGATGTGCTGCCCCGCAAAGGCAGTCTGGGCCCTCGGTGGGGCAGGAAATAGCTGCTGTTAGTTTGACGGCAGAGAACGAACTTGGCCGGACACGTCAGGAAGCAGCTGGGGGTTCCCAGCGCTCCTTTCCTGTTGCACTGACCTCAGGCACTGGAGTAAACCGGGAAGGGAGGAGGGGGCTGCTCTCCTTTCTGCCGAGGTTTATTTTCTCCTGGGGCTGTGCTGGGGAGAAGAGGGAAGCGTGGGAGCAATTCAGGCCTGGGAAATGGGCTAACCCCGGGGGTTGTTTTGGCTCTGGAGCGGAGAAGTCTTGTGTCAGGATCCCCGTGCCCTGCTGCAA